TCTAACCATACATCTGAATAAGACGTTTATCATCGATATTAGCCATCAGTATTTCTAAACTAACTCAATTTTACATTTTTGGCATGTGTAAGTAGGAGAGTTCATTTCATTGCTTGTAGGATGTGAACAAAAATATCTATTTATTTCATTCGTTTAGCACTGGAAAAAAAGTTCCAAGTTTTTCCAGTTTTTTTAGAGAATTTTCGATATATTTTAGGTTTTTTATGTTTTATCAACAACTGTCATGACATTATTTGGAGGACTTTTTCGACTTTTAGCAGCTTGGCGTGTTATGCCTTACGAGTAATTATGAAGAAGCTACGACATAAGGAGAGACTGAGTGAAATAGGAGGGAGAGGCTAGGACACTTTCCAGAAGTATGTATTATAGTATTTCATAAGAAAGTGATTTCTTCCTGTACTAAAAGGAAATGATGGATCGAAAAAATTTAAAAAACATCCTTTAGAAAGCTCTCATGAAATTGATTTTGACAATGTTGAAACATTTGAGCTTGAAAATGACTGGAGAAGAAGAATTATATCTATATAACACTATATGGAACCTATATAACGGGTGCTTCAGAATAAATCGGTCACTTAGTATTTTGCTCATATCTCAGCTGAATTTTATGTCCTCAGCTTTATTGTTTTCTCAAAAGAGGCGCCGTGAAATTTTCTACAAAAAATATATTAAAAAGTTGTCTATATACCGTTAAGATAAAAGAATATAGAAAAAATATGGTGAAGCTTCAATCTCGATTACTTTGCAACGCAAGAAACAAAGAAATGAAAAATTTTTAAGCGCGATGTCATGCATAAAGGTGGAATCAGAACGAAAGATCAGATGCTTTGAGTTTAACTATTCTTCTTATTCTGATTCACGGTGATTTGACGTTATCTTTTAGAGTCATTAATAATTTAATTTTTATTTTACACACCATTAACAGATTAAAAATAACCTGAGTTAAGGATGTGCGCAAAGGCAGGTTAAGTTGAGGAGCAATCTACCTCAGAGTAGTGCCTACGTAGGGCACCCCTCCTGAGAGGGAGGAAGACTAGCGAGAGGGGCCACACATTTCCCTATAAAAATATTAAGTTAGATAAATTGTTAAAACTTTCTTTGCTGTGAGATAAAATATAAAATTTTTGAAAGTAGTGCGCTGAAAACCTATAACGCACCATCGACAGTTCACATACACTTCTTTATTTAAACCGAAATGTCAAAAGTAATACACACAAAACGTATCGTCTTTTGTTTGGCTTATCATCATCATCCATCACCAAATAAATCGCCCACGCCAGATCCAGTGCTTGAAACTGAACTTTGTCTGCTGATAGGAGGAGAAACTGGCGGTAAGTATGGTCCAGGTAGCAATGGCACAGCAACACCTGTAGTCACCGTTGACATGCTTTCAAGTTTAACTAAACCTTGTTCAATAATTTCATTCACATTCTTTCCTTGACATGCTTGAATAACATTGTATGCTTTCTGTTCATCACATACAATACCAACTGAGCTGAGAATTGTTGAAATTGACTGGAGAGAGGGAGATGGATTGCCACCGATGAGTGAGAGAAGGTAGGCAGCTGCGTAACGCATAATTGTGATTGACTGTGCTTTTCTCCAAGTTTATGAGTACGGAGCAGGTAAAACTGACTTTTAAAAACAGATTACCTTTTATAGGTGAAAGGACAACTTTCGCAATTTTTTTGTCATTTAGAACGGAATTTTGCAATAATTATTTGAGTATTGAGAACACTGGAATGAGAATTTTTGGGTTTTTTGAGAAACGAAAGAAAGATTGTGTAATTGCACAACAGACATGCAGCAAAATGACGCTAACGTTGTAAAACATGAGTATCGTCTTAAAGCAACGTATCGAAAACGGATTTCACTATGTAACAATTACGACACTAACGAAATAATTATATAAAATGTAAATGCCTCCGCCAGACGAAGTTCAGTTTCAAGCACTGGATCTGGCGTGGGCGATTTATTTGGTGATGGATGATGATGATAAGCCAAATAAAAGATGATAAGTTTTGTGTGTATTACTTTTGACATTTCGATTTAAATAAAGAAGTGTGTGTGAACTGTCGATGTTGCGTTATAGGTTTTAACGAGAAATATTTTCAAACTAAATTACACAAGTCTGGGATTTGTCACCTGACCTAGAAGATACTCGAACACGTAGAGTTAACTGCCGGACTGGAAGTGCGTATTCATTTAAATCTGATCATGGTTGAGTTGAGAGTAAAGCGCGATCCACTATTTACAAACAAAGTTCTTAAAGCCAAAATCAACGAGCCGAACCAATTGACAACCGTGTTCAAGCCTACACAGTGGGAATATTCTGGTATAAATAGCCGTGTTTGCTCTATTCTATTTTCACCCTCAAGACTGGGCGAGAGTTAATTAAAATGACATTCTTGCAATCTCAAAACATTTCGTTATTTAATCGTGTGCTCAAAATCTCGAAACT